ATGAAATAATTTTAAAAATACAAATTTTATAAAAAGAAAAAATAAAGATCTAGATCAAAAGTGATAGAATTTTTAAATTTTTAAATGAGTTAAAAAAGTAATAGATGTTACATTACTTTGAAATAGTGTAGTAAGGATATTTTTGTTACTATGTATTTTGAAGGACTTTAAAATTTTTTATTGTTCTTATCTTTTTTAAAAAATATTACTAAAACCTTAAAAAGGAAAACCATTTTAACAAGCCCTTCTTTATAAGAATTAAACCCAATTCCACACAATAAGATGGTATTACACAACTATTCGATCAATTGTCGGTGGACCGTGATACAATTGCAAGGCCACAGCTTTATTTCAGTCTGAAATTGAACGGGACAATGTGGTTGGACTATGGTGGGCCTGATTTAAAATTTATTTTGATAATTTAAATTATTTAATGTATAAAATTTGTTGAATATATTATTTTTATAAAAAAATTACGTTAATCAGATATTAATAATCATTTGATCAGATTGTATTTATTTCAACGACAATTATAATTTTTTAAGAAAATTCGTAGACACAAATACAAGCCAATTAAATAATTACTCATATTTGATCAATATAATTTTTTATAAAAATAATTTATCCAATAAATTTTATACATTGAATGATTTAAATTACTGATAAAAATCTAAAACCAATGGATCTGGACTCCAATTCCAAATAGATTAATCAGAATAACATTAGTAATACATAAAAAAAAATGTCTAGCACGAGCTCAAAGCGCATGATTGGATGTTTAACATAGGGAAGCGTGCCATCGTCCGTGTGCTCGCCATTCTTATCCTCAGACTTTCAAATGACGTTTTCATAAGGGTGGGGCATCGCCCAGGTCGTTGAGTCCATTCTTATTTTTTTAGAGTTTGTGAATATAATTTTAGTTTATAAAATTAGTTTGAATTAAAATTTTTCACTTGATTAATTGGATTTGAAAATTATATTTTTAGTCTGACCCGGCTCGGCTACATATTTAATTTAATAAATTAAATAATTTGTATAATATATTAAAAAAAGGTGGGGCATCGCCCAGGTCGTTGAGTCCATTCTTATTTTTTTAGAGTTTGTGAATATAATTTTAGTTTATAAAATTAGTTTGAATTAAAATTTTTCACTTGATTAATTTGGATTTGAAATTATATTTTTAGTCTGACCCGGCTCGGCTACATATTTAATTTAATAAATTTGTATAATATATTAAAAAAACACATATATTATTTTAATTGTATAATTTGTTTTTTTATATGTTAATAATTTATTTGTTGATAATGAAGAAAACTTAGTATTATCAAAAATAATGGTTGATAGTGATTCTAACTCTTCATAAAATGATAATAAAACAGAGGAAAAAAATTGAAATATAAACTATGAATGTTTTTTTTTATAGATATATTACTAACAGTTTAGTTTTAAAAACTTTGAAGTTATAGAATTATGGGTGTATTTGGTTTAAAAGACATTCACAAAAAAAATATTTGAAGAAATTTGAAAAATTATGAGTGTGTTGGGTTTAAAAATTTTTGTAATGTTTTAATTAATATGGTATTAAATCTTTAACGATTAGTTGCTTTATATGCCTTTGTCTATTTATGAAAAAATAATAGGTACTATGATGTTTATTTATTTTTTTTTTTGTAACTTATGTATATGGCCTGATGGACGGACTTGAGAATTATAATTTATATTAGGGTTGGGTTTTGAATGATTATATAGACCCAATGTTCTGGCCAGACGGACTTAAGCAGACACAAAATTTCTTAATAAGTAGTGTCAATCCGACCGATACCCAACTCGATGAATGACCATCTATTCGTTTTCATGCTGTGCTTTTGGTTATAATTCATTACGGTACTCCACTAGATGTAACCATCGATGAAATCGTGATGACGCTTAGTCGGTCAACCAGTCTCAATGGTCAACAAACTCAGCGATGATTTGAACGGTAGCCCCTCCAATTTTATGCTTTATAGAGTAATGTTAGAGATTCATAATTTAAGATTTTAAATTTATTATAATGATATAGCAAAAAAGATAAGAAAATTTATTGAAAAGTCCTAATTTTGGAAACTTTTGTACTATTTGGTCACACGTTTTAATGATTGATTGAGTAGTCCTTATTAAGTGTAATGCGTGTCTAGTAAGTTATTTTTTAAATGTGAATAGGTATTGATTAGACAAATATATCCTTAATAGTTAATTGGAAATTTTTTTTTATTTTTTATTTTTTAGAATTTGTGATCACACGCTTGGAGGAGCGGGTGAAATTCCCTTTTACGAAGGGTTCCAAGGGTGACTAGGGTTTTGAATCTTTTTGTGTATGAGGTGAACGAGAGGTTTTTTGCAGACGACGTGAACACATTTACAGTGGGTACCATGCCACTAGATGGCGTGAATACATTTACAGTGGGTACCACTAAATGGGTATAAATATAATTGCATGTTTGGTCCAAAGTGGGCACGGGCACACGGGTTACAGTGGGTACCACTAGTTGATGTCACACATGCAACAACAATCACATCACACACATGTAGCACGTTCACACCCAAAAATCTACTTCACACGTATTGCAAAACAACAAAATACTATTAGTATGGTTTTCAGGGACGTGAAACACACGCATCCTTATTCCCATAATTACATTAACAACTGTTGACAATAGTTTGGCTAATGGCAAATTAGTAAACAATCAGTGACAAAGACTCTAAACGATTAACAAGAAAATATTTAAGACCATACAGATCATAAAATCAAAATATGAGATTTATAGGTCAATTTCTCAAAAAGATAAGTCCTAGACAAGTATATGACAAATTAAAAATTAACATGTATCATATTACATCATTGTGGATTAACTTGTAAGATGCTTTTTGTGAATTTTAAACATTTTTCTGCTTTGTATGTGTTATTTTTTGAATTTTTTTTATTATTTTTTTCTATCCTTGGGTGGTCATCGATGTCCATCCAATCAACTCAACTAAGCATAATATTTATAGAGTTTGAAAAAATATTTAGATCATAAAGTTGGATTGAATTGAAATTTTGTGTCAATTTAATATTTGGGTAGGACTTGAGATAAATAAATTAGCCAGCCTAACCCGGCTAACTATTTATAAAATATTAATAATAATTTTATATTATTTTTAATTATAAAATAAAGTAAAAAAAAATATAAAAGACAACAAATATATATATTATGGATTAAATTAAAACATTTGTTGTATTCCAATAGGCTAATAACATATTCTTATATTTTAATAAGTCCTATTATTTAGATATTTGATCTATAAAATCTTAAGGTATTTTATGAAAAGTTTTATCCTTACAAATATTTTTTTGAACCCTTAGCAACTCGGTATGAATTATTTTGGACTATTTTGTACTTTTTGTATATTAAACTTGAAAAATTCATAATTTTTGTTGTACATTTTTTAAATGAAATTTATGTTTTTGAAACTTAGTTAACGAGATCTATCAAATAAGATTTCACTTGAATATGTAATTTTATAAAATAAAAAATAAAAAAATAAATTTGATAGTGTGAATGTTTACATTGACAATGTGAACGTTCACGTTATGGCACATTCACACTGTCAATGTAAATATTAATGCATGTTTTACCCTATTATTATTAGGGATATTTTGATAACTATATCATTCATAGGACTTTTTAGCATATAATAAAATAATTTGAATAAATAAAACATAAGTAAGTGAAGAGAGATTATAAATAAATGCCCCTTTATTTTACCATTGAATTTTGTTAACATTCTAATAAATAAAAGGATCTAAATAATTTAATAAATCAAAATTAAAAAAAAAATAGCTTATATTATTGGGCTAAGTGCTAGGTGAGCGAGTTTGAGACTTGAAATTTTTTTAAGATCGGGTTTAGAATTTCTACATTAGAGCATCCCCAACAATGACTTGGTTTGGCTAAATAAGTCAATAAAATAAAATATCACATCTAAATCATAACCATATCACTTTTGCACTCACAAAAATCAAAAGAGCTAAAAAAATTGTGTCAAACGAACTTTTTAATCTTAAACTAAAAAAATCATAACTCCAAAAAGCTAACTAAATATTTTTTTGCCAAACGACGATAATGTTAACTTAAATAGCTACCCAAAGCCTTGTTTTTTTATTTTTCCTAATCACTTTTTCCGTACATATTCCAACCATACTCTCTACTTTAACCCTAAACTCTTACAATATTATTCTTTTTATTTATTTAAATGCTATAAGTACAGAACAAAACATGAAAGAGAGAGAGTTGAAATTAATAAAAAAATGAATTACGCCGTGTACAGTAACTCGTCAACTTCAGCGAGTTACTGTAACATTTGTCAAAGTAGTACGCCTCTACCGAGGCTGTTGGAGCTGCTTTTGTTGCTTTGATGCTCTCTAAAGTAGTCAACATGAGCTTTTAGCAAAGCTGCTAGTGATTCTTTTAGGCCCGATATGGGGCCAGGTTTGGGATGATCATTTTATTATATATTGCAAGTTCAGTTCGAAGTTTGTTCATTGCTTAATTTTCCTCAAAATTAGTTTGACATTTCAAAATTTTAGTAAAAATCACTTTGTATTAGAGTTGCTGTCAAAATTTAATGATTTATGTCATGGTTCTCTAAAATTTTACAATTAAATGCTATGATGAATATATTTTCTTATAATAGTCATTTACTATCTTATTTATCAACTATGCATTGATAACAAGTATAAATGATAGAAACCATTAAACGAATACACTACAGGAAATTAAGGATTTAACGGCGTTTAATTAACGACATTTTATTAAACATCACTTTTTTTAATAATTAATAGCATTTTTTAAACGTTGCATTTGATATGAATCAAAACGACTCCGTTTTCTAAATAGAAGATTCTTTGAAACGCCTCCAAATCCTGTCTCCCTACAAACCCTATTTTGTCTCTCCAAACATTTATTTTCAAAACCCACCACTATGTAGTTCGAATCCATTACTCACTTGTATCTCTCACTCTCTTACTCTCTCTCGATTCTTCTTCAGAGCGATTGTGATTTTGAAATTTCTCAGAGCCAACCTATCTGCATCCTTATGGCTTCAATCTCGTAGTTTCTCAGAGCGATTGCGATTTTGAAGTTCAATTTTGAGCACTGCCGTCTACAATCTCAGAAAAACCAATCGAATCCTTCAAAATCTACTTCAGCTCCGTGATTTATCTCAGAATGACATCTCAGCGATTTCGATTTTGATTTCAAAGCTCGCTCTGTCCCTCGATTTCGAAGGTCTCTCTTTTGATTTGGTTGTTGATTTTCATTTGTGCAAATCAAGGCATTGCATATGCAGACATCAAGGCATTGAGAGAAGGCACGAAGGTTCAGATCTCTCTCTCTCTCTCTCTCTCTCTTTCTATATATATATATATATATATATGACTATCGTAAATCTAATTTAGTGATTTTGTTTTGTTTGTGTTGGTTCAGTGATTCTATATATATATACTATAACCCTCTTCTGTTTTATTGATTTGGTTGTTGCCAAGTTTTGATTCTGTAATCTGATAGTATTGCTCTATTTCAGTGATTGTTGTTTTGTTTGTGTGAAATGTTTTGATGTTCTTGATGTTGCTAGTTGACTTGGTTTATCATGAATTTGCTAATATTCAATGATCCACTAATCTAGTTATAGTTGGTAGTCAATAGTGTTGAATCAGTTTTGTAATTTGAGTTATTCAAACTTGAAATCCTGATTTCCAGCTTAATGCTGAGTTACCTGTGAACATATTAATGATTTCGAAATACATTTGAATTAACAGCCTATATCCCTTTCCCATTTTGATGTCTTTAACTTCCATTATTGTTGGTGAGTTGGACTCTTGAAGAAGCTCAGTTCAAGAAAGAGAGTAAGAAAGAGAGAAGAAAATTCTTCTCTGTTTTCTTGGGAAAATAATGTGAAGGAAAACTTTTTCAAGGCTACTCTCTCCCTGCTGTTCACACACACACACACACACACACACACGCACACACACATATATATATTTACTGGGGGCTTGAAGAGGAAGAATAAGATTCTGTCAAAAGGATTCACACAGAGTGTGAACATAGCTTGGTTAGAGGAAAATGTCAATGTGCATTGGTGTGAAAGTGTTATGAACTCTTATGTATTGCTGTCTTTCTTTCATTTAATTTGTTAAAAAAAAAAGGACTTTTATTTATGACATAATAGGCACCAATATTTTAGATTCTACAATTGAAAAGGCCTTAACTTGTAGTCTTTGCATATCATACCTAGCTAAATAAACACAAGAAACATGTAGGGAGAATGATGCTAAACTTTCTTCCTCAAAGCATATGACCTTTAATAAAACTCTTCAACACCATTAGTGCTTGTTTCTTAATTGGAATTATTTGTTATATTTTGTTTTCTTTTTCAAAGAGAGAGAGAGAGAGAGAGAGAGAGAGAAGGGGGGGAACATGTAGGTAGTGTCAGTCTGTCATGTAGATTTAGATGATAAATTTTGTTCACTCTGTCATAATGAATTTGGTTATTATGTTTTGGGAATCTTCCTTCACTTTGTATATAATTCTATTGGGTTTATTCTAAAATTTTCTCAAAATTTAACTAATCAATTTTTGTTGATCAGCATCATGCAATGGCTGGACTTAAAACATGCTTGGTGATACAATCCCAAGATCCTACTACTGACTATCTTCTAAATTGTAAGGTTGGAACTTCTCCAATCACATGCAACAATAACCTTTCGACTGTTAGGCTGGAAACTACTAAAGTGTGTTTTTCTATCTTCCTATACATTTTCCTATATCTGATACTGCTGTTTAAATTTAAGTAGTTTGGACTCTAGATAAATTGTTCCCAATAATTGCAGATGCTTGTCTTAATATGACCCAAGGAGTGCTCAGAGGGGTAGCTATGTAACAATCGTTTTGATTATTTGGATTTCTTATGTCCGAAAGACATTATTTCCTCAATTATGCTTTTATCCATCACTACAGGAAATTGGAGATTTTACAGCGTTTAATTGATGACGTTTTATGAAACGTCACTTTTTTGAATAATTAACGGCGTTTTTTAAATGTCGCTTTTGTTGTTAATCAAAACGGCCTCGTTTTATGAATAGAAGACGCTTGGAAGCGCCTCCAAATGACAAACCCTATTTTGTCTCTCCACACCTTTATTTTGAAAACCCACCGCCGTCAAGTTCGAAGCTATCACTCACTCAAATCTCTCACTCTCTTGCTCTCTCTCGATTCTTCTTCAGAGCGATTGCGATTTCGAAGTTTCTCAGACCCAACATATCTGTAGTCGTATGGCTTCAATCTCGTAGTTTCTCAGAGTGATTGCAATTTTGAAGTTCGATTTTGAGCACCGCCGTCTACAATCTCAGAAAAACCAATCAAATCCTTCAAAATTTGCATCAGCTCCCTGATTTCGAAGTTCGATTTGGAACTCTTCGTCTTCTTCAATCAGAGGTTAGCGCTTTCGGTCCTTTGTTTTACAATCTCAGAGCTCTACAATCTCAGAACTCTAGATTGTGCTTTCGATCCTTTGTTTGGTTGCTGAGAAAACTTCTCATTACCTCTGAAATAACATCATATATTTGAAAAAAATCTTAGTTGTTCTCTGCTTTTGACTTCTCACTTTCTTCCCATGCTTTGATTAGGGATAACCTTTTTTACTAGTTATAGACGGGTAAATTTATTAATTTTCTAAGTTTATTCAGCTCTAAACAGTGCACTTCTCATAGGCATTATGTAGTTCATAGGCATTCGTAAACAGTGCAATGCTTTGATCTAGGTATTCGTAAGTCTGTATTCTTTTGATTCGATTATGTCCTCTCTACATTTCCTCAATTCATCGCTCTTCTTTCTTCTCCTTTCTCACATGTTCATAATTTTACTACTTTTCAACTCTTTTTTTTTTCTTTTTACTTTTTTGAGTTTCGGTTGAGAGTTTCTAGTTTTAATCTCGGTTCTCGAGAAAGAAGTGAAACTTTAATTGATTTTAATTGTATAGATTGATCGCAGAAAAACACTACACTTACGGTGCAGAGTTGAGTCGGAAAAATGAAATAAGGCCTACTTCATATGGATACAACTTAGAAGTGAATATATATATATATATATATATTGAGTGCAATGGTGACACTGCCAATAGAAGATCTCAAATAAGTTCAGATAGACATTTATTGAGTACAATGGTGACACTGTCAAGTGTCATTTGTGAGGTGTGACTGATGTTTTCATTGATTTACAGATGATAGCATGGAAATCTTTATGGCATTCCAAAGTCCACAGTTGGAGGTTTTAGGCTTAACCACAATATTTGGTAATGTTACTACAGAAGATTCCACTCGCAATGTATTGCTTCTGGTATGTGTTTAGTTTATTCTATTTTCCAAAACAGTAATTCGTGCTTTGGCATAATTTCAGGTCTTTCATATTTTTGGAGCATGTTCATGACCGATAACTATTTTTAATGTTCAAAAGGACTGTGTGAGATTGTGCCAAAACTTTTTCCCCTCCTTCTAATAACATGCTCAATTTGTCAAACCTCTCTCTCTGGGGGGTGGGGTTGTGGTGGTGGTGGGTTGGTAGGAAAGCCTAGCTGACACAAAGAGGTGTTTCCTTCCCTGTTTTTTCATACGACTCCCGAAGCCTGATCTATGGAATGACTATATGGACAACCAAAAAAACAGGTGATTTCAAGTGAATGAGATTGTTATCCATAAGTGATGATCTTATTAGCCCTTCAAGAACAATTCAACTTATTACCATTAAAATTTATTTTTTAACGGAGTGTGCATTGGTTATCTCAAAATACATTGTCCATTTTTTTTAGTGAATCAACTTTTCTAAAACAAGACAAGAATATACGGATCCATGTTCTTAGTTAGTAGCATTTCCTTGGTGGAATATATGTGACCAGAATAGCTTCTCTTTCTAATATATGGTGTCTTTAGTCTGGGAAACTGTCAATATGAGCATTTCAACAAGGTAAATTCGTTATATATTCATATCAATCCATTACTTCTCTTTCTTTGATTCTTTCTTTCTTGTCTTTTTTGTCCAATTTAATCCCAAACAATTGCCTGATTTTGAGTAATAGTCCCCCCATTCAAAAATATAAATAAAAATTTTATGAGATGTTCCTGTTTCATGCTCGCCTCTGCAAATCCCTGGATCTACCCTCAATTCCCACTGTTCTTGTCGATTTTCCCCAATCAGTCAGTGTTTCTGATTTCGTCTTCTAGGGTTTATGTTTTTGTTTGATTTCCGTTGTGCTTGCACTTCAAATCGTTCTCTTTACAATTTTTTATTTCTTCACCCGATTTCAACCAAGTTTCGTTGGTTTATTTGTCTTTCTAGGGTTTGGTTTCTGTTTCATTTTATTTCACTTTTTTCTTTTTTCTTTTTGTAGCTCGAATAGTGTTGTGCAATGTTCAATCTTTCCAATTGAATTGGTTTTCTAGGTATTTGGTTTTGCTTCATATGCTAGTTTCTCTTTCTCAAATGCATCAAATTGTGTACAGCATGTGTGGTGGTCCTCATTGATGTGTATTTCTGGGGTTTGTTTTTTGTTCACATTGAATGGTTTGGTCACATTATACATTTACCAAAATCATCTCTCTCTCTCTCTCTCTCTCTCTCTCTCTCTCTCTCTCTTTTGGCCTGTTTCATTTAATTTGGTGTCTAAGTATGTAATTTGTTGTTGATCATTGATTTGGTTCTCTAGGGTGTGTTGCCCATTTGGCTCAACAGAAATAAGTTGAAATTTACAAAAAATGAAAACTTTTCCCATTCTGCTTGAAATTGGCATGTGGTTCTAATTCTTTGCTTTTCAATTTGATTCATTTGAATGAAATTGGGCTATTTGTTTACATTTCAATTGGACAAGTTTGTTTATGTATTTATTTATTATTATTTAAGTATGAATTAAGAATAATGGTAGGATAAGACTAGCCTTTAAAATAACTAAGGGGAAACATTCTAGCAGAAGAAGCAGCTTACACTTCATTTCTGGTTAAAATTTGAGAATTGGTTTCCTTGCTTTCTCGAGTATTATGGCTTTGATTGGAAACCGAAAGTACTTCCAAAACTCGAGATGTAAGATTTGCTTTTTATAACCCCAATGAATGTATGGTATATGATGTTCACTCTCTTGGATTGCAGTGGGTTTAAAGGAAAATGTGGGAATAGAAGAACCTTCTTGTTCAACTCCAATAGGTAGTAGTAACAAAGAAAAAATAAATGCGAATCAGAAGTGCCAAAATTGAGTGTGGAGTCACGGCAAATGGAGAGAAGGAAAAGGCCCGGAGCATACAATTTACGAAAAAGCTTAGCATGGGACAAGGCTTTCTTCACTGAAGAAGGTGTTTAAATTATTTTCTTGTATTATGTGTATGTTGCACATCTTCATATTGAGCTTAAAAAATGAACATGGGAAAAGTTACGAGTTATTTTTTGTCAGGTGTTTTGAATTCCTTAGAATTATCTATGCTCAGTGGAAGCATTGGTAACTCATGTAGGGAGGTGCTGCCAACTATTCATGAAGAAGGGAGAACGTTGTCTGGTAATTCTGGCAGCAACAGTGATTCAGCAGTTTTACAAGTACTTGAAGAGAATTCATTTAAAGAAACCCATGCAACTAATTCAAATGAAAGAGATAATGGTGGTAGTTTATTGATGAAGCATGTTTCATCAGCTTGAGATAATGCAGCACCAACTTCATAGGCATTCGTAAACAGTGCAATGCTTTGATCCAGGTATTCGTGAGTCTGTATTCTTTTGATTCGATTATGTCCTCTCTACATTTTCTCAATTCATCGCTCTTCTTTCTTCTCCTTTCTCACGTGTTCATAATTTTACTACTTTTCAACTCTTTTTTTTTCTTTTTTGAGTTTCGGTTGAGAGTTTCTAGTTTTAATCTCGGTTCTCGAGAAAGAAGTGAAACTTTAATTGATTTTAATTGTATAGATCGATCGCAGAAAAACACTACACTTTCGTTGCAGAGTTGAGTCGGAAAAATGAAATACCTGCTTCAAGGTCAGGTGCTCATTCACTTCCTAAATCCAATAAGAATAATGTGCTCAGTACAAGCCACTCAAAGCATAATCAGATTGGTCAAACAGGTATACGTCAATTTTTGCTGGTCATACTAGACCGTTTGTTGAATCAAATTTGTTGCCCGCATCAGAAAAAAATGGATTTGTTCAAAGAATAATCAGATTGGCTAACTAGGTTATTATTGTAACAGTAATAATTTTTAAAGGTAGTGATATGGTATTTCAGGATGATGCACTGCCTGATGGAACTGAACTAGTTTATTTGATTCTCATTGAGGTGTTTACTGTTCAACATTTGTGAGCAGGTCAGCCCTTCTCAGTTTGAAGCACATGTGGGTTGGACTTCTCGTCGCAAGCCGTGAGTGTTCTTTTGATGTTTTTGGGAGGTGTAGTGAACATGTGGTTTCTGTGACCATTTATACATCATTAGATAACTTTTTTTCCCGTAATGCAGTTACCTACACATCTATACATCAAATGGAGTGTCTCTCCATGAGTTGTCTTTGAAATTGTCACAACTGCGAAAGTTATCTGCCGAGGAAAACGATGATCTTTGCTCAATCTGTGCAGATGAAGGAGATCTTTTACTTGGTACTACAAATATTGCGAAAACATGTTCCAGAAAGAAAAATTTGTGGAACACAATGCAAATGTTGTGGCAGCTGGAAGAATCACAGGAATAGATTCTCTAGAACAGATAACCAAGCATTGCATCCGCATTATTGAAACTATAGAGACTGATATTGGTGGATGTGCACTGTGCAGGTTGTATTCACACTCTTTTTTTCTCACCATAATTTCTCTTTAGAAGCTTAAGCTGTCTCTTAATAGTTTGCATAAGCCTTCACCAATAGAAGGCTCTTGAAAATGGTTCCACTAAATAGAGACATTTTTTCAATTTGGTTATAGAAATTCTTGCCCCCCATGGACCAAATGCATGCAAAAACTCTGTTGTGTGGTGTCTTTTTACTAAATTCTGCAATTCAGTTTTGTTTCTTTTTTGCTAAATTCTGCAATTCAGTTTTGTTTCTTTCTTTTTTATTTATTTTTTCTTTCGTAATCAGCATTTGTAAGCTTATATTTTTCTACACATTAATGATGCATACAGGGTGTAGACACCCAATTTTTGATCGACCTTAAGACTCAGACGTCATCGATTGAGCGCTCGGTGATTGCGTATGTTGTGCTCGTTCTGAGGTTTCAGAGTCTCGGCTGCGAGCCTTGCCTCCAGACTTCGAGGCTCTTTTGTGCTTTACCTCGGTTTGCGAACCAGGTCCTGTTTTCTCTGTTTTCTCTTCCCGAAGGGAGGGAGAGGTCTCGTAGACCATCTCTCAGTGGCCGTAGGCTACGTTTCATGGCCATAGACCATTTTTCCCGTTTAGAGACCAGTTTCCGATTTTCGGAGCCGTCAGCCGTGTGCCTCGGTTCGGGACCGCTTAACTACCTCCGTTTGCTCTGGTTTTTGGCACAGACCTTGTTTCCTCTCTTTCGAGGGACACTGTGGCTGAGAGACCACTTTCGTGGTCACACGCCACTTCCGGTACCTAACAGCCTGCTTTCAGGACCCCGGGCTACGCGTTTTGGCCCCCGAACCCTCGTTTTGCATCGGTTAGGGTTCATTTTTGATATGGACCCTATTTTCATTGTTAGGAAGGTGGTAGGATGGTGAGAGACCAGCAATTCTTTTGAAATTATTTTCTCTCTCCTCCAACCGGTTTTCTTGACAGAAAGCTGATTTTCCTCACTTTTGAGCCATAATTTCTGGTCTCCCATACCACCATTGTATTGTACTCACCTGGGAGGCCACCAATATGGGTAGGCTGACCAACTTTTATTCCCGACCCTTTTGAACCTTGCTAGAAAGCTGGTTTTTCTCACTCCTAGGCCACATTTTTTGGTCTCCCACCATACAACTGTATTCTACTCATCTGGGAGGCCACCTTTCTGGTATGGCCAACCAGCATTTCTTCTTGACCTTTTTGAACCCTGGTCGGCCGGCCAAGGAAGGTGGTCAGCCGACCGCTTGAACTGGTCGGCCAGCCTTCTACTTTTTTGTCTCAATGAGTTGAAGCTAGCTGTGCCAGCTGGAACCCTCAGAATGCATCCTCCATACACGTGTATGGAGGATGTTTAAGCTAGCTTTTAAGCTTCTTTGAGAAGCTTTAGACCTTCTCCTCTATAAAGGGAGGGGCCCTATTCCATTGCTGGGGTTGAGATTTTCCAGAGGCTCATACACACACACTCCTCCATATCTCTCCATTCCAAGCTCCAAAAACCCTTGTTCTTGGCCCCATTGCAATACACCTCCTAGCACAACACCTCCACCATCCATCCAAGCACCTTGGAACTAATTTGCAGAGGTTGAGGGCTCATTACCTTGGTCCAGAAGTTGCTGAGGGTCGGATCTACAAGGGTAAGCCTCTATTTTCCTTTTTTTTTTTTTGCATTATCTTGCTTCATATCTTAGCCCTATTTGAAAGCATTTTTGGGTTTCGACATAAACTGAAAAAAGTCTTGTTTTGATCTTCTAAACATGTTTGTTTAAGGACTCTTTTCTGTTTGGGGTCATCTACCCCCTTTCATGTTTCATTTCCTCATGCTTTGAGCCATGCATTTGAGCATTTGCATTGGCCTTGGTTTGGCCTTTTAGCCATTGAAATCTAGTGGATTTTCAGTGGCTTAGATGTGTTTTTGAGCCCTAAAATTAGAGAGGGGTGACCCTCTCACCCCTTGTTCTCTTTACTAGCTTTGTTGGCCTTCCAAAGGAGCTCCAATTTTCATGTAGAGAAGTCTTGTTTCAAGCCATTATTTGTGAGTTTCAAGGTCTGCCTTGACTCTGTCCAGAGCCCTTTTGGCCATATTTTGTGTCTTTAATGCATGTGTAGAACAATTCCATTCAAGGCCTTTCAAAGGGGCCTTTATTTGCATGTTTTCTAGACCCCTTTCAGGCTCTTTTTAGTGGGTTTTAGGACCCTCAGAACCTCTGTCCAGAGGTAGTTTTGCCATTGTGTGTGTCCATCATGCATGTGTAGAAAAACCCCCTTATTGGCCTTTCAAAGGAGCCCATCATTCTTGCATGCATTGAATGAGTTTCAGTGGTTATTTGGGCATATTTTGGCATGGCATACTTCTGTTTTTGGCTGGTTTGGTGAGCCTTCATATGCTCCATATAGTTATAATGTAACTCATGGTTCACTAGCTTTCTTTGCATGCTTTGTTGACCCTTGATTTTAACACTTTTTGGCCTTGCCTTAAACTGGTATTGTGCTTATTTTGGACTGCCCTAGCTCTATTTTTGGGTCTCATAGTTGAATAATATTGGTTTTGCATGCTTGTAGTTCAATACCCATGCTTAACTTTGAGTTTCAAGATTCATTCCATGCATATACTGAGGTGTGTTCATGTTTTGGGCTCATTATACATCATATTTCAGAGCTTATTTGAATGCCATATTTCCATGTTTTGTACTCTTTAAATGTGTTTGAGAGTCGGACGTGTATGCCTTGTTTTCGGACCAGTGAATGAGCTCCATTTCGCTGCATTCCGAGCCATCATTTTAGGCCATTTTCCCACTGTTTCAGACCTGCCTAGGGTCAGTTTGGGGTTAGTTTTGCCTTTGGTGCATTGCTTTGGGTACCTCTAGTGTAACGCACTTCACTAGTTTCGATACCCGCGCCCCCTAGCTTGCATTGTGTGCATATTTGCATGTTTCGGGACCATATTTTATGCCATTTCAGAGCTATATCATGTGTCATTTTATGCCATGTTTCATCCTTTACCATGCTCTGGTAGAGTGGCATTTGATGCCTTAGGATCGGTCCCTTGCATCGTGCATGTTTGCATGTGTTTTGGTCGTCTTGTTTCCACCATATGGCCACTGATTAGAGTGTGGCTGAGGTCCACTCATATTGGTTTAAGTCCATCTTGCATTGTGTATGCCATGTTGCAATGTGTTGTGCATGTTATGTTGTTAGCATTGTGTATGCCATGTCATTCCTCGCATTGAGTATGCTAGGTTGTTAGTCGCATTGAGTATGCCATAGGTTATTAGTCGCATTTAGTTCATGAGCAATATGCATGCCATGTAGTGTTAGCATTGTATATGCTAGGTACATGTTTGCATTTTCATCCCATGCATGTTTGCGTCATTCAGTGGCATTGCATCTAGGATTGTATGTTAGAATTGCATTCATGCATATCATGCATATTGCATTGTGTTTGGAGTAGGGTTTAGTCTAAACACGGGAAACGAGGGACGTTTCGTACTCTAAGTGACGAAACGTGCCTCGATTCCCGGTCGCCAACGCTCCGGATTATCCATGATAGAGTTTAGGCCTTGTTGCGTTCATATGTGCATTCATTTCACATCGAGTCGTGCAATTCGATTCCTCGGCCATCATGCATCGAGATGCGTGATTGGTGGCACGAGGATCGAGGACCACACTCCCTAGAGCTTGTGCAATGACGAAGAGAGTGGTCGTACACACATGTGTTGCAAATACCTTGCTTTCTCTTTCTCTTGCCTTTGTTGCAGAAAAACTAGAAACTGGAGGCAGGAACTGGTCGGCCGACCAGCTTTTCTGCAGGCCGACCACCTCCTTTGGTTTTTCCCACATAAACTGGTCGGTGGGTGGTCTCCAAGCCCAATAGCTGGTCGATGGCCCTCCTATAGCTTCCCAGAGTGGAGTTTCAGCCTCTCGGAGCTTTGTGCAAGTTTCTGGATTCAATTGCAAACAAAGGCGAGTCAAGGCATTGCGATGGAATTTACCGACAAGGCAAATTGAGCATACATACACCCTCCATCATTCCGAACAGAGCTGAGGCAGTCCATTGCACGTAGTATAGCATGCTAGTTTACTTTGCTTACCTAGTTCATTTGCTAAGTAATTAGTGTTGTGTAATAATTCGTTATTTATTTTGGTTGTGTAATATTCATTCGAACCCTCCGAGCGAGGGTAATGTTGTAATAAGTGCGCGTGTGTGTGATGTATGTCTTCTAACCCCACTTCTTTCTCCATTTTATTTACCAGCTTATGATGGTTAGATTAGGGCATGTTTCAATTAGCATACTTATGCTCGCATGTTTGCATCCATTCATCTATCTTGCATGCACCGGGCTCGGCGCATCATACTAACTGCATCGTATTTCAATTCCAAGTTGAATACTTGTTAGTTGTAGCATTTCACATGCCATTCTTAGAATAGCCGAGCCTATCTTAGTTGCATTTTTGCATATGTTGCATTAGGCATTTTTGTATAGTTAGGATCATGCATGAATTTCTAACATAGCTTCTATTTTGACTTGGAGTACTCGGTAAGTGTTTATGCTTTAGCATCCTTGCATGCATGTGAGTGACTGGCATGATAGCATGCTTACCATGAGACTTTTTGCTTATGTGATATACCTGCCTGAATGCTTGTGGGTGAAGGTTGGATTATCTGAATTGGAATAATGCGTTGACTGTGGGTTTTAAGCCCACTAGATAGTGGCAAAACCATGTTTCCTAAGCCCACCCGAGGGTGGCAAAATCTGCATTTTTAGCCTACTTGTGAGTAGCAAACCGCTCTAAAAAACCAAACATGAAATGTTTTGTTCCAATTCAGGCGATCCAGTCTATACTTGTATGCTGTGCGCATCACATAGTAAATCTAGGCTAATAATCGGAATAAGAACACATAATGTTTTCAAAACTAGATATCATGGTTAGTAGAGGCCGATCTTTGATCGGGCGAGCGGGGGTGCTCACGAAGTGACCTTCCCCAATTGTACCCAAGTTCCCGAGCCGAGGCAACTTTGGTGATGACGGACACGTGGCCTTAGGCAAACGAGTCAGGGTTTCCTAAATTCCCCAAAATAAAATATTTAGGTGGCGTCTCTGTATCTGGCAAAGCAATCCATGTTTGGCACTTCTTTCAAAAAAATCTGTTTTCAAAAACGATTTGCCGGATTTGGACTCTTTGATGATTCATCGGTCTTGCATTGCACTCTGCGAGATTAGATACAGGACCGTGACATTTGAGTCCTGAACTATAGTGAGCCCAAATGAACAAAACGGGGGATTTCCCTCCCGGGACGTTCGGGGACGTCTACACAGGGGCCATGGTTTCAGCAAATCAGTATTTGGCCCTCAGACAGTCATACTGTGTGACTAGGTATTTCGTTGATATACCAGTTTTTAAGTTTACTAATTAACATTGACATTACAGGTGACACCTTCCCTCTTGGTTGTGCTTTCGACAAATTGATTGTTCATCACAAGGTGTGCTTTTTCAACCCCAAACTTAGCAAGAAGTTATTTAATTAATAATTTGACACTTAACAAACTTGAATAAATACTATTTATGCAGTACTTCGAGTACAATTTGGATTCAAAAAATTCTACTTACAGCACCAAGAATGGAATTTACTCAGAAGGTTGTGGACTAGATAATGTAATGATATTGTGGGGGCATGACGATTACATGTATTTGGTATGTGCCTCAGTTTCACCCCTTTAGAAAATATTCAAGTATTTAGTCAAATTTCGATCTTTAATGCTATAAAAATAGGTTGTTAATGTAATTTGGATTTTCATTTTTCAGGTGGCTAAGGAAAATGGAATGACTTTGCCTCCAGCTGCATTGTTCATCATCCGATACCACTCTTTTTATCGTAAGCATTTATGCCAAAATATTTTTTTCAAATTCCAAAAATTAGTTTTTAATGAATAACATGAATATCTGGATCATTCATCTTGCAGCATTACACAAGTCAGGAGCATACACACATTTGATGAATGCGGATGATGTTGAGAATTTGAAGTGGCTGAAAATTTTCAAGTAACCCCTTTTTTTTAGCATTTTGTTTTTAATTTCATGTGTTATGCCAATATAACAAACAAAGTTTACTATTTTGCATAAACTTTCTCGAATTTATGCAGCAAATATGACCTCTATAGTAAGAGCAAAGTGCGCATTGATGTCGAGAAGGTCAAGCCATACAATCTTTCTCTTATTGAGAAGGTGAGCACTACACTAGTCAGGAAACTAGGTGTGTAGAAACCATTTACAGAACAGTTCACTCACAAGGAGCATCTTATGAGTTCCGTGACCAGTTTCTATGCACATCTATTTTTCAAATTTTTTCTTTTTTTATCTTGATTTTTCGCATTCTTAATTAGTGAACTTTTTTGCAGTATTTCCCAGCCAAGCTGAGATGGTGAACATTCCAAATTGAAGACATTGATTTGAGAAATCACAGATTTTATTTTATTTTATTTTTATTTTTGTGATTGATTCATGCACTTGTATAAAACACAACAAAGATTTGTGGGTTCTTTGTAAATCCTCTAATGATGAGCTTTTCTGTAGTTATTATACTCTCTCTATTTAATGCTTCAGGTTCATTTGGACAAGCATATCCTTAACTTCGCATCTCCACATGCCGAAGTTGCTGCTTCCATCGAACTTCTCTACCTCGAACTTGGCATGGGACACCGGGGTCCAATGCCTAGAAGTGCTTGGACTGGCTGAATTACTTACGGACTCGGTTGATCTAGATTCTGCCATTTTTTTTTAGAAACTTCAATTCAAAAAACTGATCGTACAGATGTGTCCGGAATACTCCAAATAGTTGGGAAGCACTATTAGATCGTCAAAAACGGACTCCAAATGGCTCCGTTCTGGCAAAAACACTTTGGACGGGTCAGATCTGCAGAATCTGGTGCGCTGAGATGCACCGGATAATTTCTCCTGTCAACAGCTGGAACGGACTCCGAATGGCTCCGATCTGGCAAAAATACTTTGGACGGGTCAGATCTGCAGAATCTGGTGCGCTGAGATGCACCGGATAATTTCTCCTGTCAACGGCTGGTCAACGGCTCGGTCAACGGCGCAGGCGGCGCGGTCAACGGAGGATCGGCGGCGCGGTCAACGCGGCTTAAAATGAAAAAGTGTCGGATGACGTGGCACGCGCGTGTCTTACATGCGCCTTCCCCACTCGTCTTCTTCCTCCGTCAGCGCGTGGGGCGCGTGGGTGAGAGTGGGACCACGCGCCGGGTGCTTGAACAGCGCGTGTGGGCGCGTTCCGAGACTGGGACTCATTAAGTGGTATGGTAGGTGGTTGGAGAAGAGCTTGGGGTTCTCCCTGGCATGGATTCTATATTTTCAGCCTTAGCACTTCAGAGGTTTGTAGGATTCTCCGGGAATGTTGCTTAAAGAAACCAGCAGGAAGATAAATTTGATATAATTGTATATGATTGTATTAGTACTGAAGTATTTGATGTTGCTCAAAGAAACTATATTGATGATTGGCGCAACTAGCAAAGCAAGTTTAGAAAGAACTCTCTCTCTCTCTCTCTCTCTCTTCATGTGATTCTCTCAATCTTCATGAAATCACATGTGTTTTGTACAGATTGTACAGCTGAAAAGACTGACCTTGGGAGGTTGGCTGGTCACTCTCTCTTGAGATTTGCAGATGAAGCTTTTAGTTCAAGCACTAGAGGGTCCCAGCTCAATGGGAAAATGAGTGCAAAACTTGTTGCGGATCGGGGGCACACCAGGGAACTCAAACAAGCAATAACACACAAGATTTAACGTGGTTCGGCAAGTCGCCTACGTCCACGGGCAGCGGATTCACTATATTGAACAAAATGGTAAGAATTATACACTCTCTGTAATTCTCTCTCTCTCTTTTTGCTCTCAGCTGTACCCTCAACTCTCCTTAGCTTCTCTATATATAGAGATTACAAAACAAAAGAAGGCAAGAGAATGAGCTGGCTGCCAGCCCATTTTTGTGCTTTCGGTGGCTGGCTTCTCATGGCCTCATGGCTGGCCTCATGGCTTCCCCACCATGGCCTCATGGCCAGAATCTGTAGCCAATATTCAACAAATCTCCACCTTGGCGAGGATTCTCTTATCCAACATAGTGATCGATCAACACTGCCATGCACCCGAAGGTGCACAATTCCGAGAGATGTTGACCAAGTCCAAACAATGTTGGAACTTGATCCCAGAAACTACCTTTGTGAGCATATCGGCCGGATTATCTGCAGTACCAATCTTTTGAAGCAGAATATCCCCTTCATTCACAATTTCTCGGATGAAATGGAAACGGACATCAATGTGCTTGGTGCGGGCATGATGAACCTGGTTCTTTGCCAAACAAATGGCACTCTGACTGTCACAAAACACCTCAACGTGCTTCTGAACAATTCCCAAGTCTTCAATCAACCCATGTAGCCAAATAGATTCCTTAAAGGCTTCCGTCACTGCCATGTACTCTGCCTCTGTAGTAGACAAAGCCACCGTTGACTGAAGCGTTGACCTCCAACTTACCGGCCCTTTAGCAAGCGTAAATAAATACCCTGTTGTTGACCGGCGTTTGTCTAAGTCACCAGCATAATCTGAGTCCACATATCCTTCCAAATTCTGCCCGAGTCGGTTATCTCTCTAGAACTTCAATCCCAGATTGACCGTGCCATGTATGTACCTTAGGATCCATTTCACTGCCTGCCAGTGATCTTTTCCTGGATCATGCATATACCTGCTTACCATACTCACAGCATGCGAGATGTCAGGCCGTGTACAAACCATAGCATACATTAATGCACCAACTGCATTTGCATATGGAACCTGTGCCATATGCTTCCGTTCTTCTTCTGTGCGTGGAGACAACGAAGCACTAAGCCTGAAATGAGGGGCCAATGGTGTACTTACAGCTTTGGTTTTCCCATTGATGCCAAATCTGTCTAACACCTTTTTCAGATACTGGGTTTGTGTCAGACAAACCGTGCCCTTCTTCCTGTCTCTCTTGATCTCCATGCCAAGAACTTTCTTTGCTTCTCCCAAATCCTTCATTTCAAACTCCCTTGCTAACTGTGCCTTGAGTTTGTCAATCTCCACCTTGCTCGTAGATGCAATCAGCATATCATCTACATATAAGAGCAAATAGATGAAGGAACCGTCGAGAAGCTTACGGAAATATACACAATACACCATTGGCCCCTCATTTCAAGCTTAGTGCTTCGTTGTCTCCACGCACAGAAGAAGAACGGAAGCATATGAAAATACTTTATCAATCCAATGGAATTTTTCAAATACCCAAAATCACAAAAATTCTAGCCAAGTATAACCCACAATTCCTTTACAAGATTTGATAGTAAAGCGTCCATGTAAGAGTACAAAAATGACATCTGATGCCCCATGTGCACTTCTGGCCTGTCACTCCCCTCTAAAAAACTTAACAGACTTTCTCTGCAACTGATCAGACCTTTTCTATAGCTAGCTGTTACTTACTACTACTAATCAAACCCATCCAACTCAACAACCCTAAAGAAGACAAGCCCTAACCAATCAACTTTAAAACCCATCTTACACAGATGTAGAACTTTGTCAAAACCAAAGCAAAAAAAAATTCGCTATCCATGTAATAACACCTATTTTGCTCTAGTCTTTCTTACTTTTCTCTCTCTTTCTTTCACTTTCACAATATGCATAGTAGAATACAAATTACCCACATAAGAAATACCCTCAAAATCATTAAGACAATCTTCAATTCATTGCCTTTGTTGGGATATTTTTGTTTGCGCGCGACTTAATTCCTCTGAATTAACAGCTCTTTCTCAGTTTATCTGCAGGCCCATTTAAGTCAAAAGCAATGTTCTATCAACTTTCTTGATAGGTGTTGGCTTCTCTCTAATGCTTGGGTACACTAGAGAGGTGCAATCGAAGCTTTTGGGCTTATTATGGAATTTTTTAATATATTTAATATTTTCATTTTTTATGTTCTTATTTATAAATCATTCCAAAAAAAAAAAAAAGGGGCAATTTTATTTGATAATCGTAGTGACATGATTTCATCAAAAATGTTTTGTTTTCAAAATTACAATTGACATCCATTTTTTCAGAAAAATATGATTAAATTACGTGATTACAATATGCCGTCGCAAAACATTAGCGACGGCACTTACCGTCGCAAAAACTCTTTTACAACCCCTGCAGTGGCGAGGTTCTAAATATCGATCGTTTCGTGCCATACCGGCCGGTTCGTACCGGAAAATTGAAGTGTCGAGTCGGATACTCACCGGTATATCGGTGAGAATAAATTTCGCGTCTGTAGCGGCCGATTCCCGACACGTATTGGCCTGAATCCGATACGTGAGCAATACAGTTCCGATACAGTCCGGTACGGTTGAAAATAGAGCAAAGCACCTGCAAAAATAATTGAGCAAAGCAAAACACCTGGAAAAGCATCGAATCAAATCGAACATCTTGTAAAGTGTTGCAGGGAGAAGCATCGAATCGAACCCAAACCCATCACCGATTTCAAGCTTCTTCGTTGAAAGTTTGCTCTCTCATGCTCTGTTTGTATTTGTCATGCTCTGTTTTTTTTTTTTTTTTGGCTGAATAAGTCATGCCTTTTGCTTGTTATGCACTAAATAAGTCATGCCTTTTCTTTTGGCTGAATAAGCAAAGCACCTGTTTTTGTCATGCTTTGTTTGATTTTTTATTTTTTTTAATTTTTTTTTCCTTGTTTGTACTGTGGTTATTTTTTATTTATATTATGGTATGGGATAGGAATAGGATATATTTTAATATATATTTATGATTGTTCAAATATTTATATATATATATATATATATATATTAGGAGCATTTATATATATTGAAGCAAAGCTCAAAAAGAGACAAAAAAAAATGCATAAAATTGAGTTTTAGAGGGATTGCTAATGATTTTTGAAATTTCACAGCCACGACACCCGATACCCGATACCCGATACGTACCGGTCAGTACTACCGACACCGATACTCTGCGATCGATACCGTTACGTTAACCGATACCGCAATTTAGAACTATGTTCTGTAGTCTCTGCTAATGAAAATAGCAGTGTTAAAAATTAAACCTCACCCCTTTTTATTTTGCATGTGCAGAAAGTAACTTGAATATTTGTAATGGCATTTATACTTTCAAATTCATTGTTCTTCATCTAATGACCTGTAAACATTTTTTGAAGTGACCTTATTACATTGAAGTCCAATCTTATTTGAACCAACTATATGAAGTTTCCCTCTGCCTGAATGCACTCACTCTTGTTTACATACGCATTAGTCCCACTGGATTATTCTTGATTTTGTTAATTTGCAAAGATTACATGGAGCATCTAGGTGTTCTTATATGTCTGTATACTATTAGATTGTACACAGGAAGCTAAATCTATAGATTTTTTGTACATGTGAGATCGAACAGATAGAAGGAAACC